CAATTGCAGCCTGCATTATGCGTGTTCCGGAAACTTCAAGAAAAGGTTTATGAGTGAGATTTCTATTGAAAGTTGTTGTGGAGAATGTAAGGTTTGGCATTTGCAAACAGCTCGAAGTGCAATGTGTATTGAGTGGTGTTGAATGGTAGAATGGGGATGAAGATGGCCTCGGAAAGGTTGCGACAACTGACTCAGAAAGAAGCGACATTCAAATACTAAAAGCATGGATGAGGATCCCGAAGCGGAAATGAGTCAGAACCCCGTTCATGCTTGATATGTGTATATATGTGCATCCGTGTATTGAGAGTTATGAATGGAAGTTAAGGAGCTAATAATGAGCATAAAGAATTTTTATATAAAAATTTACCTGTTCAGCAGTAAGATTTGAAGTTGTCGGAGAGCTAGGATTCAACACAGGAATACTAGCTGTAGGAATATGTGGGAATAGGCCAGGAGGAGCTGCTGCAGCGCTACTGGCAGCCTGTAACGCCTGTAAGCCGGCGAGATTGGCGCCCATTCCCTGCAACGCTAGTTGCATCCATACTTTCTGAAGCTGCTCCGGAGTGAACATCTGAGATTGAGGACGGTGTCGACGACAATGGCACGACACTCACGACGCACCCCGACACAGCGACAACCGTACCAACACACAATGATCCGCCAGCTTGCTTAATGATATGGGCGGGTCGTCGCGTGCTGATTGGCCCACCGCACCCCGCGAGGCTCCGCCTCCGGCTGGTGATGAGAATAGCGGGGCCCCGTCGAAGAGGAGAATAGGCTGAGATACCTCAACTGGTTCGAATGCGAGCTTATGTATATGATAGCATAGCACATTACATTGGGAGGGTAGAAGTGTCATGCTAAGTGCGCATCATACCCCTTAAGCCGGAAATCTTCCGCCGAGAAGGGTATTTCCGGGGGTGGTGTGTAGTTCTCGTCTCTCGTCTCTCTTCACTTCCGGTGTAGATGATGCTGGATGCTAAATGTGTTTTCTCAATTCCACCTTTCCTTTCCAGGAAAATTTTTAGGGCTACAATTTTTTTCCTTCGCTCAAAAAGGTGAAAGCATCAAGTTGGCTGCCCTTTACCTGCACAGCAAACGATTGTGCGTGTGTGTTTGCCCCGTTTGCTGCTCTGTTATGACTGACGACTGCTTGCTGCTTGCTGTGTTCAGCCGTCAACGAGCATTTTGCGCCATAGCTCCTCACTTTTAACAGCATTCTTGCAATATTTAAATCTTTTCCAAGTTTATGACTCAAATTTCCCAGCTTCTCACAGTTCTCAC